CCCTAAGCTTTTTATGCCACAGATTCCCACATTTTAGCTGCTTGTTTAGGTTTCCAACTTCTGAGGCTGCTAATGCAATCCTTTTATCTTCTCCATTATTTGTCTTAGTAAGATGTAGAGCCCATCTTCTTCCTTACCAATCTCCCTCACCTTCCCAGTGAAGAGATCTTGGAAGAAGCAAAAATTTGGGAAAAAAGGTTGCTGAACATTTTAGTTCCTTAGTAGCCTTAGACACAGATAATAGATTAAATTTGAATTGTGGCACATGAAATAAATTAAAAATTGTATTCTCGTCTGATAAGGAACTTGCACCTATGTGTGTGACTTGTGTTATATCACCATTTAGTAAGAAGACTTTTTTTGGTTTTTCAATCTCAGTTATTGAGGATTTATCTAACATGTTAATATCAGAAACCATGTGATTTGTAGCTTCAGTATCTATAATCCAATCATAAGGTTCATCAGAAACTAGTAGAGCTTTAGGAGTACCTATTAAATTTGCTACAGAGTTGTCTGATGAAGGTATTGAAATCTTGTTTAGCATCTGGACAATTTGATCATATTGATCCTTGGTGAAAGTGTAGTTTCCTAATTGATTTCCAGGAGCATTCTCACATGATAGACCATATGCACTTGACTTCTGATTGAGGCTATTACTTGCATTCTGTTCTGGCACATTTGTGTTCATCCCATAGTTGAATGTCATAGTATTATTCTGATCCATCTGAGAGTTATCTGTGAGTACATTGACTGCATTTGCACTATGATTAGGATAATGAGCCCCAGAATTTTTCTTCTTGAACTTGAAATCTGCAGGATACCCTACAATCTTGTCGCAGTTTTCTTTAATGTGTCCTTTAAGCTTGCAAAAATCACACTGTGTGTTGTAATTCTTTTTGAATCTTTGAGGCTGATTATTACCATTTCTTGAGTACATAGCCATATCATAACTACCAGGAATTGCATTAGGATTAGTTCCTAACACACCAAACACAACTGCAACTGATTTTTGGCTTTCATCACTAACTATCATCGCATATGCTTGATTTACTGTAGGTAATGGACTTCGCATTAAAATCTGACTTCTAGCCTCTGAGTATGACTCATTTAGCCCCATCAAAAACTGATACAATTTCAATTTTTGTAAATATAACACAAAATCTCTTGATTTTTCACAATCACACCCAGGAGCAGGCACTAATGCCTCAAACTCTTCCCACAAATCTTTCAGTCTTGAGAAGTATACAGAGACTGAGGCAGTCTCTTGAGTTAAAGTTTCAATTTCTTTGTGTAGGTTGAAGGTTCTTGACCCATCAATTTTATTAAACCTTTCTAATAAATCTTCCCAAACAGCTTGAGCACTAGAAGCATACATAATTCCTCCTAACAGCCCCTTAGCCACAGAATTCATTATCCAAGATAGAAAAATTGCATTAACTCTCTCCCAGTGATTTCCCATGGTTATTGGAAAATTTTCTTTCATGCATGTCCCATCGACCATGCCTAATTTGTTTCTTCCTAGCAATGCTACTCTCATAGACCTATTCCAGATTGAATAGTTTTCAATCCCTGTCAATTGAAAAGAAATTATTTGAATTCCACTTACATCGGCTGGTGACAAGAAAAGTGGATGATTGTAGTCCAATCCTGCAATTGAGTTTCCGGAATTTTGAGTACTCTGCTCTCCTGTGCCCATATTTGCAGGATTTGCCCTTGATTGTTCATCAGTGATAGCCATGGATTCTTGACCTTCAGTGACCAGATTTTCCACTAGAATTGCAACTAAGTTTTGATCGATTTACAAGCTTCAATTTCGTAGCTTGTACTGCTCTGATACCATGTTATAATTCAGCTAAGAAGAAGATGTAGTTGATATGTAGATGAAGAGGATGAAGAAGAAGATGAAGCAGAGAGTTTTAGAGAGAGAAAGCAGGCGGAGCATTCTATATTGTATTAGACAAAATGAAAAACTTAACTTCTGTTTACAGAGGAGTTAGTTTAAATACGCTAACTAACTAACTTAACAACTAATAGGAAATGACTAAACTACCCTTTTATACTTTAACATTTCCACCTAACATGAGGAATTGATTAACTAAAAAAGAATAAACTATAATATAGCTCATAGATATTTACGAGTCCGAAACCAAAGTAATACATAATTCTTTTTTTTGTTTCTCATTGGGTGTCCTGTACCCGTATTGGAGCCCGACTATATTCGAATTTACGCCGGATAGTACCCCATTCGAGGGGAAGCGCTCCCTACTAAGGATTTTACTATACCCAGGGCTCGAACTCGAAACCTCTGATTAAGGCAGGGGCAGTCTCAACTGCTGCACCACATCCTTTAGCAGAAACATAATTCTAACTTTAAAGAATCAAAAAGTTGTGGAAAAAAAAAAAAAAAGAAAGAAAGAGTGTTACATATAGCGCCTTTTTTTGTTTTTTTTTTGTTTTTTGTTTAAAGCTAAGTGTTGATAGTTATAGTGGTTACATTTATATATATATAGAGAGAGAGTTAGATTATATATACAGTCTAATAGCAGAATTTCAACTGTAGCCCTAATATATCAACTTTCCTACAAAAACTAGTAGGACGTAATAATAATGCTACTAAAACCTTAAAATCTATATTACATATCTTTAGTATTGCCAAGAGAGCAATATCTCTCACGCTGGCTTGCAAAACATATTAAATTTACATTTCTTGCCGAAAAGATCACAAGTAATATGTTCTTATAATTTCACTACAAAAAATGTGTATATTCGGCGGTTATATTTGCCTTTAGTGGCGGTTTCGAACCGCTGCAAATCAGTATTTGTGGCGGTATCCAAAAACCGCCGTAATCCCAGTCAGTTATGGAGCGCCATTTCCTAAATCTCGTGCCTGAAAAAAAGTTAAGATAAAAACATGGTGACAAATATTACCTCAATAGTTCTTAATTTCGAAATATGATACCAGTAAAAAGAACAAAACAAAAAGGGATATGGTATAAACAATATTATGAACTATAAGTTTACTTATAAATGCTTGGTTGAGCACATAATTCATCACCATAGTAGACTTTAACAAAAAAATTCATCACCACAGTTGACTTTATCAAAAGAATTCATCAGCACTGTGCATTCGTTTCTGTCGTTGGCTGGAATTAATTTAAAAGATGATTCTCAACATTTGACACAGGATATATAAATAAAATAATAACAGCTAAATTTTGGAAAGAATAAACATGAGGGCAACAGTAAGAATAGCAATGGCAAATTGACAATAGAGTATATGAGTTTTAAATTAGCTATGTTACTTCACAAAGAGATGTAAGAGGTGTGAAACGCTTAATTTGCACAAAAGTCTGCAGTATCTATATAATTTATTTATTTAAAACGGAAGTAACAAGAATTATGAGTCATATTATAGTATGTCATAGGATTTTGAAGGAGCAGAAGGAGATACCATAGACATTGAGGTGAGATGAGTGATATTTTGTGAGAAAGATTTACATTCCAATGCTTTCTCTACAGCACATGGAATTGTGCCTTGGTGCTATAATCTTCTATCGAGCAACATTATCTGTAGAGACGCATTTTCAATTAACATAGACATTAATAATCTGTTGATCCTACTAGAATTAACAGTTGTATAATCTCTATTTCCTTACCTCTTGCCTCAAATAACTCCGGACTTCAGCCTTAGATGATTGTTTCTTCTTGCTCTCAATACAGCCGTTCGTGTGAACCATATCCTGGAGAAAAGAAACAATATATCCTAAGATGTTTTAGGTATACATAAAAAACATGCACTAAACAGATGGTCCAAATATATTTTGAGTCTAAAACTAAATCACATTCAAGTAAGAAAAGGAAATCCTTCACTTCTTCCAAAGAGAATTTAGAATGATCTAAATGCAAAATAATACAAAGATAGCATGCCCAAGCACTAAGCAGGTAGTTAAAATGGAAATTTGAGTATGAAACAAGATCACTATTAAGAAAATTTATAGTATTGAACCAGCTACTCAGGTACAAAGCAAACAACAGATACCTTCAAACTTGAGATGAACAGTGTGTCCTGTAAATTGCTGGATCTACTAGTAATCTGATCGATCATGGAACCAATAGTTGTGTACAATGACAGATAAACCTGCAGCATTTCCAAATATTAAAAAACTACCTCCTAATAATAAAACAAGCTTCTGAACAAGGAGAACAAGTAACAAAACCTTCATGATAATCTACTTCAAATATTGAGTAGATAACATTTTTTTCTAAAAAGGCTAGCAGAAGTTCAATTCAAATGTAAGTTTTGACTGTCGTAACTACACAACTGCATGGCTCAATGACATAGCATGTACTTTCCACCATTTAAAAATTCGCCGTTAAGTATCAAGGTGAAAGAACATTTGCAAGATGAAGCATCACTCAAAATGATACTACAGTCAATTACATAAGAGCAATCCAATCATTCAACCAATACAATCACATAACTCTATTAGTGGATATAACAATAGACGACCAAAAATGAAACCATTCCTTAGAGCAGCAGATACATACAATCGTTGAAGAAAAAAGCAAGCAAAGCACAGTTCAATTAACTAATTGACAGAGATAAAATGAACCAACAATGGAAGTCTACATTTAGCAAATACATACAATCGTTGAAGAAAAAAGCAAGCAAAGTACAGTTCAATTAATTAATTGACAGAGATAAAGTGAACCAACAATGAAACTCTGCATTTAGCAAATACATAAAATCGTTGAAGAAAAAAAGCAAGGAAAGCACAGTTCAATCAACTATGTTGACAGAGCAAAATATATTGACTGAGCAAAAGCGAACCAACAATGAAACCCTATATCCACATGAATACATACAATTGTTGAAGAAAAAAAGCAAGCTAAGCATATATTCACCAACTATATTGACTGAGAAAAAGCGAACCAACAATGAAACCCTATATCCACATGAATACATACAATGGTTGAAGAAAAAAAGCAAGCTAAGCACAGATTCACCAACTATATTGATAGAGCAGAAGCGAACCAATAAAGAAAACCTAGATCCACAAAAATAAGTAATCAAAACATAGAGAAATAGAGAGGACATGACTGAACATTAATTTAGATGGGAGGACACCATCAAAAAATCCTCGCAACTTCATCGGAGACCAAAAGCTTCATAGTTTCTTACCAATCAACGCCACCATCTCCTTGGCGGGGGAAGGAAAGAGAATATGAGAGGAGAGAAGAGAGAGGGTTTGATAAAATTGGGGTTGGGAGACTGAGAGGAGGGAGTTCTAATTGGAAGAGTGAGATCTTGGATTTTAATATTGTCACCACCCGGATTTCCGACCGTCGGGATCATGATGACACCTGACTCTTATAATACTAAGCAAGCCAACCGATACAGTTCCAATACATTAATCATTAACCAAAACAGGAATTTTACAATAATTAATACTAAGAAGATGTGAAGTGCGGAAATTTCATAGCAGATCTAATACTCTAATAAAAGACTACCCAAAAGATCTGGTGTCACAATCCACGAATGTCTAAGAATTTCTACAAACACTGGTTTCAAGGAAAATACATCTGTTTTTCGAAAAAAATGAAAACGAGACTCAAAAATAAAGGGAAAGGGACTCCAGTATCTGCGGACGCCGTCAGATCTACCTTGGGTCTCCTTTGGACTGAAGGCAGCAACCCAACTCCGATCAGTAAAGTCCAGTACCGGGATCTGCACAGAAAGTGCAGAGTGCAGTATCAGTACAACCGACCCCATGTACTAGTAAGTGCCGAGCCTAACCTCGGCGAAGTATTGACGAGACTAGGACACGACAATAATATAAACCTGTCCAGTTAAACAGTATACTAACAGAATAACAATTAATAAAAACTAAGCAGAAATTAACGGGAAGGGGCAATATGCTATGGGGGGCACCAAAATAAAGAATCATAGCAGTAAAGGTGTCACGACCCAATTCCACTTCAGGTCGTGATGGCGCCCAACACCGTTGTCAGGCAAGCCAACGTGGAATTATTAATAAGTTCTAGTTTTATTTTCCCCCAAATAGTTATCACAAACTCTAAGTTAAATTTAAAAAAGGAAATAATTTGCATCGAACCGAAATAGTTATACAAATCCCAGAAGAATAGTCTACTAATGTGTGGGACAAGACCTGGTGTCACAAGTATATGGGCATCTATTAGAATATACAAAAGAATAATCTACCCTACTGTCAAAACTAGGATAGACAGCCAAAGAAAATACAGAAAGACTCCATCATGCTGCTGGTCGGCATAGGAAATTAGCAGCTCACCGTGGAATCTTGGACTTCAATCAAGTGTGCACACCAGACTGATAACCGGATGTACCTGCCTCAGATCCTGTACAATTAAGTACAGAAGCATAGTATGAGTACATAAACAATATGTACCCAATAAGTATCCCGTCTAATCTCGAAGAAGTAGAGACGAGAGGTCGACTTGACACTTACTAGAGTCATTTAATATAATAATCGTTTTACTATGCATAAATATCACAATTTATAGCATGAAACGATAAGTCATTCTCTAGACAATTCCATAATTAGCCATTTACATTTCAGGGCACTTAACAATAGAAGTCATGAATATGAATTCACATAGATATCATGCGCACATTATGCCGAGGTCGTACGGCCCGGTCCAACATGAAAGAAATGTGCACTGCCAGAGGGTCGAATGGCGCGAACCATAGATGTATCTATTTCTACCCAATCGATCGGCCCGATCCACAATATAAATCATCATCAAGAGGGCACATAAGGCACAATCATAGTCAAATAAATTCACACGAGTTATCGAATGAGTACATGCGTTCTTATACATTGTTCCAATTTCTAACAAGTCCTAAGTGATCTCATTAACATGAAAGGATATAGACATATACAAACATAGCATGATACGGGTCCTAAACTACCCAGATAATTAACATAATAGTAGCTACGCACGGACTCTCGTCACCTCGTGCGTACGTAGCCCCCACAATTAGCACACATGATTTAATTTACTCACCTATGGGAACAATTCCCTCTTACAAGGTTAGACAGGAGACTCACCTCGCTCCAAACGTGATTCCAATACCAAGAACGTGCTCAAACCCTCAATTTGGAGCCGAACGATCCAAAACTAATAAAAAACGAGGTAGGAACTAGTCAATACAAGCTCAAGAGTTCGCTTTTTAATTACTAAAGTAATTCCCCGGGCTTAAACACATGTTTCCTAAAATCCGATCCCGGGCCCACGTGCCCGGATTTCGAAATTTTTCAAAGAAAGTTGTTCTCTATAGCCTAGGGATCAATAATATTTGATTTCTACTTCATTCCATAACAAATTCCGTGGTGAAATCTATGTTTTATCAAAACCCTAGGTCTTGCTCTAATCCCTTGATTTTTCCTAATCTTTGTGTGTTAATCTACCCAAAACTCAAGTATTAAACTTAGAAATAAGGAGTATGAACTTACCTCAAGATGCTAGGTGAAAATCTTCTCTCAAGAGCTCCAAAATCGTCCAATAACCGAGTGAAAAAAAATGGCCTGGAGCCCGTATTAAGTGAGCTCACTGCTTCAATGATTTCCGCAGCTGCGGTCCTGGGCCGCACCTGCGCCCAGCGCATCTGCGGAAAGTAGCCCGCTTCTGCGGAAACTCAACTAGGCCGTTGGGCCGCATCTGCGAGATATAAGCCGCTTTTGCGGAAGGCTTAGGGCCTGGCCTGGCTTGGCCGCATCTGCGAGAGGAAGACAACTTCTGCGGTCTCGCACCTGCGGCTGACCAACCGCAGGTGCGGTTATGACAGATAGCTGGAGAAGCTCCTTCCCAAAATTTCCAACTTCACTCGAGCCTCGCTCGATTGACGCTTGGGGCCCCCGGGCCCTGCCCGAATATACCGACAAGTTTGAAACCATAAAACGGACTTGCTCGAACCCTCGGAATGCCCGAAACAACGCTAAATCTAAGAATGAGCCCCTAAGACCAATTGAATCATACTTATGAACTTCAAGTTCTTCAATTCACTTCTAACGTGCCGAAACGTACTTAAACTACTCGGATTGATACCAAATTCTGCGGGCAAGTCTTAAATGATATATTGGACCTGTACTGGGCTTCGGAACCAACATACGAGCCCGATACCAATGTGATCCCTCATTATTTAGTTTCTTTAAATCCTTAGAATTTCCAGTTTAACAATTTTTAACAAAAATTCATTACTCGGGCTAGGGACCTTGGAATTCAATTCCGGGCATACGCCCAGGTCCCATATTTTCCTACGGACCCTCCGGGACCATCAAATCACGAGTCCGGATCCGTTTACTAAAAATGTTGACCAAAGTCAAACTTAGCTTTTTAAGAAAAACTTAAAGAATCAAGTGAGCCTATTTCAACCCAAACTCTTCCAAAACTCGAACCAACCATCCCCGCGGGTCGTAAATCAGTTAGAGCGCGCAGGAAGTTTTATTTAGGGGAACGGGGTTCTAAAAGCAAAATGATCGGTTAGGTCGTTACATCCTCCACCTTTTAAACAAACGTTCGTCCTCGAACGAACATAGAAAAGTACCTGAGGTGCTGAATAAATGGGGGTATCTGCTCCGCATGTCCTCCTCGGACTCCCAGGTGGCCTCCTCGACTGGTTGGCCCCTCCACTGGACCTTTACCACTGAAATCCTCTTGGATCTTAACTGGAGATCCTGTCTATCAATAATGGCAACTGGCTCCTCCTCGTAACTCCGGCTCTCATCCAATTGAATAGTACTAAAGTCTAACACATGGGACAAGTTGGCATGAAACCTCCGAAGCATAGACACGTGAAAAACTGGGTGAACTCCCGATAAACTGGGGGGTAAGGCAAGCTCGTNTCTCTAGTTAAAGCTAAGGTACTGCTACTTCTACTAGCTTTCTCTCTCTAAAACTGTTTATTCGTAATTGTTGATTTTTCTATGTTTGTGGATGATTTCTATGTTGTTTTCAGGTAGCGTAAAAGATGGCGGTGTCGATAGATGGTTTCTCCATCAGGTGAGTAAGATTTTGTTGAATTTTTTACTTAAATAATGATGCGGTTCCATATTTCGATGTATTTATTGTATAAAATGTCTGGTTTGGGTTAAAATAGGGAGTATACTGCAAAAATGAGGAGTGTGGACGTGGTGAAATGCTGGCCGTTCGATGAATCAACCAAGGAAGTTCATGTGAGAGCTATGTTACCTCCAATTGCCGTGAAGAAATTCAGCTGGTGGCTTGATGTACTGGAATTATCAGATGATAATGTGGATTCTGATGTTATTCCAGTGACGAGAATTCGAACGGCTCCGTTTCTTACCGAATTTCACAGACATGACTTAAATACCATATTAAACCTGTACCGGGCTCTGGAACTAAAATACAGACCCGATACCAACAAGATCAAGCATTATAAAATTTCTAAATACCATTACAGTTTTCAATTTAATAATTTTCTTCAAAAAATTCATTTCTCAGAGTAGGGACCTCGAAATTCAATTCCGCGCATACGCCCAAGTCCCATATTTTTTTACGAACCCTCAGGGACAGTCAAATCATGAGTCCGGGTCCGTTTACTCAAAATGTTGACCAAATTCAACTTAAATCAATTTTAAAGGCAAATCTTAATATTTTCTCAAATTTTCACATAAAGGCTTTCCGGAACCGCCTGGACTGTGCACGCAAATCGAGGAGAAAGAAAATGAGGTTTTGAAGACCTCGGAACCCCCGATTGGGTTCTAAAACACGAGATGCCCTTTTGGGTGATCACATTCTCCACCTCTAAAACAACCGCCCGTCCTCGAACGGACATAGAAAAGTACCTGAGCTAGAGAAAAGTTGGGGATATCTGCTCCGCATATCAGACTCGGATT